TACCCATGTTTGCTGAATTTGTAGAATTACTGATCATATATCAGTATATATATATTATATAAGTATATTAATTTCACAGTTAGCTGCGAAATATTATAGTGAAGATCTATGCTATTATCTATGTGCTAATTAAAGCTGCACATGTAGACAACAGCTGCGGCAGTGCTGTACGCATGCAGGCATGGTGCTGCTGCGTGCATACCTGTACAGGACTCCCTGTAATACGTACATGCAAGTACACATTGTTGAATTGGCACAATTATTGATCATACCATAAGTCGGAATGTTCTCATGATTAGTCGTATTTAGGAAAGCACATTCCAGTTTTTGTGTCTGTCGGTGTATGCGATTAAATAGTGCTGAGTGAAAAGACCGGGGTTAGTTGTATGTCACTTGTGGAAGTGTTGGAGCATTCTTGGCGTGGCGTGTGCAGCTTCCACACAATGGATTCCTGGCATGATCGGTCAATGAAAGTGCTGACCAGTGTATATTGTGCTGGTCAGTATTGGCTTCAGTTGTGATCCACATCAACAGCCGAATGCGCCACAGGCATGAGGTGACCGTGCTTGCACCTATCTGTGACATTGATGGCCTAGTTAAACTCGAGTACCTACATCAGTTCAAGCCTATTCGCTGCAACTGCAGTGCATTTGGCTAGACTTCCCGTACATGAGCTGGGGCGCATTCCGCGTGACCTTGGGCGCATTCCGCGTGACCTTGGGCCTTCACGTTACCAAGTGGTGCAGTGTTGACAGAGTGAGATGAAGCTGGTTGCCGCGCGTAGTAAGTTACGGCGTGGAAGGCGCTCGACTATGTGCAGTGGCCATATCGGTCAATAAGTAGCAGCAGTCTCATGCGAAACAGAAGAGTGGTAAGTATGGCTGTCTCCAGCAAATGGAGTCCGGGGCGAGAGCACTGCATCACGGTAAAGACAGTCACGCGCGCCGCTAGCTATGTACCGAATCGATATGTCACGGCAAGTATGTAGAATGTGGATCATTACAACCGTATCCGTTTCATTGACAGGTTATGCATCAAGCGCGAGGTTTTGATGTGCCGGCCTTATGTAGTGCGTAGTAAGCAGTTCCAAGGAGTGCCACCAGATGGAGCTGGGAGCCAGTTGCCCAGCACCCTGAAGATGGGAGGGGGGCTTGCAGAAGATCTAGTACATTCCCCAAGTTTGACAACGGTTTTTGTAGTCTCAATCTCGTTCACGCTCTTTATAATCACAGTGCTCTGTGCTTCAATAGTTTATTTAGTTAACAGATGGCAGGCCCGTCTTCACATTTTAGTTCAAATTTTTTAATGAACTCGTAGCTGCGATAAGCCAGATTTTTCACAAAATCACAAATTGACAATTTTAATACGAAGCACTATTAACAGTTGTGAGCCATGGGAACTGAATAAAACGTGATAAGAACATGCCATGTTTTATGGCATGTTCTTATACCATTCTTAACTAAAGTATCTTGAAAATGAAATGAACTACTACTACTAATTACTTGACCATTTGAACATGTATGATGATGCTTACAATAGCATAATGTGGCTTATCACAGCTTTAACCTTAACATCAATGATAATTTCTTTGACGTAGTAGTACTACTAGTTTGTTATAGTAACAAAAGTTAAAAATTGCATTCGTGTACTCTCCAGCAGGCTAGTAGCATTTTTATGGCAGGGAAGCGAAGTGGCACGCTTATCTTGGCGAAAGTTTAACAGCAGCATTTTAATATGTTCCCATTTATTTCACATATATTGTATACATTATGGAAATCGCACAAAGTTGAAAGTGTGTGGTTGTCTGACGAGAAATAATAGGGCTGCACAAGAAATGGCCCTAAATACATCTCTGCCCAGTGATTGTACATGTATAAATTGATTTGCTTATCTTAGAGAGGTGCAAATCTGTAACATTTTCGCAGAACTTATGAAGCTATTGTGTGTCCACTGTCACTTGTTCGTTTCAGTGTCTTGCTATATGTTATTAAACTGAATTGCTAAGGTGCACGTAGTCTGCTATTGTTGCTTCAGCCACCTCTTGCACTTTCGTCTCGTTTTACAGTGTCAGGTTTTATCGTTAAATAATGTACGGTTGGCAACATTGAATGGAGTTGTGCAATGGCTCAACAGGTAGAGAGAGGCACGTCGGAATGTGTGCAGCCGCCGGTAATTGCTCGACCAAGTAACGTAAATATTTAAAATTTGTAATATGAAACTACTGAAGCACATTTTGGTTGTTCGTTTAACATTTATTCGTGTCACCGCTTAAAAATTGTAGATTTATGACTGTACAAATTACGAGCTGATGACAGATTTGGTCCCAATAATATCCGGGAAAGTTGATCTAGTTGTACAAAATGATTAACGAAATGTTTGCATGTTGCACTAATTAACATCGTTACTAGCAATCGCGTTGGTGTACTGAAGCCGTAAAATATCTCAATAAATAAAGGTTTAATATTGTGTAAAGTAATGACGTATGTATGTTCTTGATCTAGTTTCGTGGCTTTTATATAATCGGCTTAATTATTTACTGTGAACGTGTGTAAAACCACACCATTCAAAAGCTTGTTACACAATGAAACAATGAGGTACAGTTCAATCATAATGCATTTTTTTAGCTCATCTGACGAAGTCGGATGCAGCTTGTAGAATCGCATGAGCGTTCGTCCGTGATCCGTGTGTCTGTCAACAGTTGGGCACATATCTTAACCACTCAACGTACGGTCACGATATTTGGGATGGGGGGATCGTGAAAAGGACTCGGGGATGACCAATTTGGGGGTTAAAGGTCAAAATGTGTCAACGGAGGGGGAATATTTCCCCCTTACGCCTTAATTTAGGCACAGATCTGAATGGCTCGACCTATGCTCTTAATATTCGGTGTATAGTGTGAGGGGCAGGAAACCCATCACCAGTGCGAAATTGGAGGTCAAAGGGCAGTGGGGGAAAGGTCAGATATCAGACATTTTCTGAGGACATGGCCTAATGGACAGTGAGAAACTTTTTTGTTTCAGCGCTGACCTACCGTTTTTAACACTTTATTGAAAGGACCATGAAATGTGCTTTCCACTGCCGTGCAAAGAGTAAGTATCTGATAACCTGTTGACCCTCAAGAGGAGGGTTAAACATGGATTTGTTGACTGTTAACAAAGGTTTGAACTGTGTTTGATGGTACTTGTGTGATCGTGGAAGACTTAAATTTACTTGAACAACGTTTACGCGCCTTAAATCATGTATGAACTTCATTCTCTATATGAGATTCTGTACGTTGGGAATACAATGTGAATAGCACTTACTCAAACGTCTGTTTTTGATTAAGGCCAACTATAAATAGGCCTACCTCGCAAGTGGGTGGCTGATAGTATAACAGCATATGGGCTAAACGAAGGTAGCAACTAGTTCGGATTATCTATTCCCTGCACCTAGTCTGTATGCACGCCATCTATCGGAACAGAGTGAGAAGAATGTCCCGGCAGGATAGGTCAAATGTACCTCAGATGAGCCCAGTCGCTCTGCGGCTCTTGTTAATTAACAATAAGAATTGTACTCCTGATTGTACTGATATATTAAAGGAATTATTTCATATTAAACAACTGCACAACTGAGACAAATATAGCGAAATATGTTACTGATTACTCCAGTATAAAAATTGCAATGGTTTTTTGGCTGTTATGGTATATAAAATGGCAAATAACAATGTGACACTGCCGTATAGCAACAATTCCCTTGCAATAAGCAACCACCAGACAAAAATGCATCTCGTGTGACGTAGTGGTTCTAGAGAGGTACATCTCTACTGCGTAATTCAAGATGCCATCGAAAAGTACCGGGACGGTGTTGTGAGAATCAAGTGGCATCATCAGGTAACCGTGTCAACGCGATGTAACAGATTTCAATCGTATATTTTTGTGGAAATTACGATGTACGAGTGTTATAAGATATGTTAGCTTTACTTTAGACACTGTTGCACAAGCAATACCAGTAAGTATATTGTTGTGGTAAAAAAATACGAGATTGGTCAGAAAGACAATTATTAAAATAATCATCAACAAACTTAATTATCACAATAATGCAACGATATGATGAAAACTATCCCCTGGTTTCCAAAATATTGTTATAGATGCCATAAATACACGATCATAACAATACATTTTACGACAAACTAAAAACAAATTTCACGCAGGAATGTTCTTTAGCACTAGTAAGCGAATCACTACTTGTGCAAGCCTGAAGGACACCCTAGTCTTGAAATGCCTCCGATGTCGGGTCCCTGATTGCTTGGTCTTTATCACAGGTAAAGGAGACCGTAACTGCATAGCGTGTTCCACTAGTCACCTTCTCCACAAAGTGTGGGTTCTCGGACCCAGACGTGAAGAAAGAGACCCGACCTGAGTTAAACGAGATGCAGTCTATAATCATCTTATTATCAGTAGTGAATAAAAAAATTCGTTTTATTATAAATACATCATAAAAATGTCGTTTTATCATAAATATATTATTATAAAAATTGTTTTTATTCACTCCTTGTCTTACGTACAGTGTACTCTAACTCATCGCCCAACATGTACAGTACAAGTTACACTAATACATAGTGCCAGAGCGACTATGCTAGCCATCTATGTAAGTAAGGCTGAGAGGGTCTATGTCCCCCTGGGTACAGTCCGGTATACCGGAACGTACCCTGGTACTATCTAATATGCCGGACCGTACCTCGCCTACTCCACTAACGAGTCTAGGGAGTCTTATACTATAGTCGCCTACGCCTACTCCCTAACCCTAAGTAACCATATCAAATAGTTACCAGGGTACGTTCCGGTATACCGGACCGTACCCAGGGTACGTTCCGGCAGTACCCTGGGGTTCATAGACTCTATGAGCGTAAGTAAGATTAGTCACCAGTTCTTGGCTCCACAGTTCGGTTTGCATCTGCGTCGTTGAAGATGAAGCGGCCGCCGGTATAGTCGATGTTGTGGTTGGTCAGGTAGAGCAGCGATGTGTAGAAGAACGAACCGTACGTCTCCTGAAGCACGGATTAAAGGCATACTAGGGCTCATAAGGTCTATGTCCCCTAGGGTACTGCCGGAACGTACCCTGGTACTATCTAATATGCTGGACCGTACCTCGCCTACTCCACTAACGAGTCTAGGGAGTCGCCTACACCCTAACCCTCACCCTAACCATATCAAATAGTTACCAGGGTACATTCCGGTATACCGGACCGTACCCAGGGTACGTTCCGGCAGTACCCTGGACGACATAGACCCTATGAACCATACTAAGCCCATTGATTATGCAATGTTGAAGAATGCTAGAGTAACTGGCACCTTGTGTAGTTAATAAGTACATTACCCTATAGCCAAACGCGTATTAGTTTATCCAATATCACTGCTGGTTACATTACAAGCAAGACTTGAAATCGGTTGTTGATATTCATTTACGTGCCGTAAATGTCATCCAGGAGTCAAGCGATAACGTAAACATTTGTGCGGCCCGTATGGTTTGGATGCCAGATGAAATGGAGATGTCAGCGGCAGATGTAACCACAGCCACGGACTAAACATGGAAATGGAGTAAAACACGTACTAATCACGGACGCACATGGACAGCCCTGACAAAAAGTTCCTTATCACGAGCGTCCATGTTTACGAAATCACTGATGATAGCATTGCGTACGGCCGAGCATGTGTGCGAAAATGTCCGGTGCACTATAAATCTGTATCACATCCGCTTCGCTGGCAGCGGGTTGAAACTGTAAACAACTGATTTCTTGGACTGCGGATTTCAATTAGACATTTCTTAGTAACCAGCAGTGATATTGGACAAACTAATACGCATTTGGATATAAGGTTATGTACTTATTAACTACACAAGGTGCCAGTTACTGTGGCATTCGTCAACATTGCATAATCAATGGGCCTAGTATGCCTTTATGATTGAGCGAGGGACCAAGGCTTGTGACGTGCGAGACCAAATTTAGGGATGGGGGTGCCACGCCACCGTGTAAATCTCATGAATTGCGACAACGGGCTAGCGGTTTCGCTCCTCGAGTATCTGACATGTGAGATTTGCAAATTTCATACGCTTCCCGTCGGACCAATTGATAGCAAAACTACGTAAGCCAGTATTAATACTGAAGTAATACGAATATAAACGAAAATTTAGATAACAAAAAGCTACATATCACTATATTCGCCTCTTGTCAATCGTATTGACTCTGCAGATGGTGTGCAGTGGCGCCCCCTGTCCTTACCTTGTCTACGTGTACGTGCCAGTACTCATCGTGGATTGTCTTTGCCGTTGCGTTTGTCATGCGGGAGAAAAACGTCGGCTTTGTAAGGTACAAGTTCTCTTGCAGAATTCCAAACTCCGTTGCGATTGCTTGTCGAATTCGGTTCTTTATCTGTCTGGAATACGAAACATTGTAGAATACACTACCGTGACAACTGCAGAATAATGTTACCACAATTTCAAAGCAAACAATCAGGATATTTAATGTTTATATATAAAGAAACGCAAGATGTAACTTAATAAATGCACATAAAAATCGGCAATCTTTGAAGTAGGTGCTTTTTAGCTCGCCTTGACATCGTCAAGATGAGCTATTGCCATGGGGTGTCGTACGTCCGTCCGTCCATCCGTCCGTCCGTCAACATTTGGCTACAGTCAACGATAACTCAGGAACCGTTTGACCCACATGTTTCAAATTGCATACAGTTGTTACTCCTATGGGAGAGGTTTGAGCGTCCTATTTTGGAGCACGCCAGTCGACCTACTTTCGAGCGACGTCCACTTTTTGGCAAAAATGGAAAGGGCCATAAGTCAGTTCAGGTTCAACGGATTTTGCTCAATTCTGGTATGTGAATGAATAAGGACTGGCCCCAAAACATATCACACGGGTTTTTATACATTTTTTAAATTATGCAAATTAGGTAGATTTGGGCAATTTCACTATGCATTTCAGTGTCTGCCTACGGTCAACGCCATCAGATTGTATGCCAACAGATCTGAACCATTTATTTTCACATCAAAAATTACTCATATATTATCATTATCATGCAAGAGTATATAATGGGAGATATATGCTATATAATGGGAGTTCTCCCATATATACTCCTGCTTTATATATCCCCCCTCCCTCTTCTATCACACCAAAGGTGAGCTACAGTGTCATTGACACGTTCATTTGAGTTGTGGTTGGAGTAACTACACTTCGTTTTGACCAACTTTATTTGTTATTCCTTCTCTTGTCCAGCCTATTGACTGGACCTACATGATGTACAAGCACTGCATGAGAGTTTCCAGGATAATACTAAACCTAGGGGTTCCTTGTGTATTTTGGGATGGCAGTTATACATTTTGTATTACTTACGTGTAAAGTAGGAAGTCATCATCTGTAAATATCTGATCCAATTTCTTCTTCTTTAAATAACTGTAAGTATCAATTGAAGATTTTATACAGATCTATGCATATTTACGCATTATTTGCAAAACAATAGCTTATTGACATTAAAAAGTAGGCTTTAAAATCTTGGTTTTTCTGTATCCAGAATTCTAGACAATATCATATGCAAGACATCAGGAGTGATTAAAAACAAACAACCTTGTTATTATCCACTCCTAAAGACATGAAGCGTCATTCGTCCTGGGATATATAATTTTGTGTATTCACATGTAAACTACTGTCATAACTGAGTTGACCCATACCTGTAAATATTGACAAAACCATTTCCCTTTGACATTGCTCCAGAATGCAGATCCAATATGGATGCCTGAAAACATTTTTTATGTACATTGAACTCATGTATTTTTATTTCATCTGAAAATTGCCAGAAATGCATCATCTTCTTATCTGCCCACTCAACTCCTAGCTCCGTGCACTGAAGATGACCTCACAGAAACTAACGAATGTGCAGTTAGCTATGCAAAGCACTGGATGAACACTGTAGGAAAGGAAAAGGATCTGAAAATTATAATACTACTGCTACTAAAAGCAATCCTGCTAATGAATCATATGCCACAAAGATATATATCAATGTCGTGTCACTAAAGAGAAATGAGAGTCCTTGAAGATAACCCACTAAAAACACTCGGCAATGATCGTGAATGCTCTCACCCCGCCTGTTGAACCACCATAAGACAGCGCACTCTCTACTAATTCAACCAGATGTTCAGCTTCCTTGGATGTGACAAGTCCATCCATCACAACTCTTCCACATCGTTTTGGTGCACAACCTACAAAGACATTGCATATAAAAATCTCATAACACATATATTGTAATTTAGATCTAGGCTCCAGTAATGCATATGAATTATGAATTATCACAAGACCATGATCAACTAGTGTTTATAGTGGTACCTTTATATAACGTTAGGTCATAATCTTTTGAGCAAGGCACTGTCTGTGCTCGTTTGATGACAACTTCCTGTTGTTTCACAAACGTGATTAGTTCTTCTGATCTGCCACTGCACCATAGTGCAATACCGACGACAGACACAATGAATGTCAAACGAATAGCTATGGGTTTACACAAAGCTAGTGTATCATTGCTGAAAAACAAAACACAAGTAATCGATTTTTCCCCCTAACTCAAAAACATTGAGCACAGCCATATCTATACGCATATATATGTAATCAATGTGTCCTGCATTGCACTACAAATAAAACTGCCATGCGTATTAACCAGCACTACTGAAGGAGTGAACATCGTGGTCACCTCACCGTGAAATCCCACATTTCTCAGAGCCTGCATGGTCTAGTGTTGCATTAGACTTGGTAGGTGCCGATGTGCTGTCTAACCCATGTGACTTCCTCTTTGACACCATCACTATTTCAACTATAAAACAAAAGGTGCAAGTGGGTCATATAACAATTAGATAGATACTAGCTCAAATCGTGTAGCACTTCGCCTCTGCAACTAGGTTCTACGAACAACAGTGCTGGTTGTTTAGATGTAGTTGGTCCGAAATGGCCAATAAAATAATGATCAATAAACACCAGGGGTAGAAATTAACTTTTGAACACGGGAGTCCAACGGACTCCCTACCCTCAAAAAGAGGGAGTCCGCAGCAAAATGAGGGAGTCCGCAGTCTGAAGTTCAAAATTAAAGATATTAACAATAACGCATATGCTTATTTTTAAGATTCATGCGGTTGCACATCTGCCAAATTTTAGGCCGTGCTCTGGAACGAACTAGTTAGAATGGCAGAATTTTCAGGGAGTCACATGGACTCTTGCATATGTCACATCAGGGAGTCCGACAGTAAATCAGGGAGTATTTGCCTCCGGACTCCCGTTAATTTCGCACCCTGTAACACTAAATGTATTTACTAATAAAGTCATGATGTTTATCTATATTCTCGTTTGCCTATTAGTATTAATTATTGGTAGTGTCCCGTAAATGCAGTTCAGATGATCCTCTGAAACACAAAATTTTACAGCACGCATATTTACCCGATTTACCTGATTCCACCCCCCTCACCTGTAGGTTTGGAGTGGATCGAAGAGTAGGAAGACTACCGTCTTGTATAAACCCCCATCCTTACATATTCATCCACATGGCTTTTGAACGAGTTAATTGATTTAGCTTGTACTGCTTCTTCTGACAGGTTATTCCAGTGATTTTTTACTCTAAAACTGAAAAAAATATTTCCTTAACTCTAGTCGTGCACGCGGAGTGAGCAATTTGAGGCTATGGCCACGAGTACTGTTGTATTCCGATCTTGTAAAGAATTTTGTAGGGTCATATATGCCATCCTTCACACACTCAGTCACAGAAATATATAGACTGATCTTTCAGTGAGTTTGTACATAATCATTCATTGTGTGTGCGATTAAATTGTTTGTCGTAGAGGAGCATTTGAACTGCATTTACAGGAAATTGCGATAGACAATACATAAACACTGAGAGTTTGGAAGTAAATACAATATGTGTGTATTATTGAAAAGGTGCGATGCCTTGCCTGTGACTGCACAGGTGCGTACACAGCCACTGATGTCGACACTGACAGGTGCATACAGTATAGTCAGTAGGTAGTCAGTACACTGCAGAGTGCAGTGTGTGCACCAACTACAAACATCAACCGTGATAAGGAGCATTGTTAATGCCAAAATGTTATCGTACCAGATATCGGCACCACACTAAGCCCCTTATTACATTATGCAATGTAATAAATGTTATCATCACTGCTTCTTTTAATGAGTAATTTAATTTTACCTTGCAGTTATAAATTCACGACATACTCCAGTAGCTGAGGGACACAACTAGCGCCACCTGTGTTAGGTTGTGGTAAAATTTGAGGGTCTCAGACATAGAAATGTGTAGATACGTTCATGTAGACTGATATAAAACATACTTAGTGCTTATATGATTATCTGATATTATATATTATCAGGGTTAATAATAACAAATTCCTCCTGATATTATATATCTGGTGTTTTATGACATCTATGGCCACGTCACAGTCAGTATTAGAGACACTAGTTAATAATGATAAACATTATTAATTACATATGTGCAATTAAACATAATGATAAACATTATTAACCCCTGGTATATTATAATATAAGTACATAATATCAGGATTCAGGAGTGAATAATAATAATAATAATAATATAATAATAATTAATCTATTATTATTCACTCCTGATAAAATCATATTATATAGTATATATGTAATAATGTAATATAATATAATATAGTATATATAATAATTATAGTAACATAATAATTATAATAATTTAATATAGTCTATTAATATATATAATAATATATAGTTTAACTAGTATATAATCTCTGACAGACCCCGGGCTGAGAACAATATTATATATAATATATTGTTCTCAGTCCCCGGGCGGTCGCGAGCGGGAGTTCAAGGGTTGCGAGATATCTGCCCTGAACTAATTAAGATTTATAAATTTCCGAGAATGGCTAGACTTTCAGTTTTAAGTTTTACTAGCTGTGCATAGGAGGTCAACTTTAAATGTCAGTAGTTGGCAGCTGTCTAGCATCGTAAAGTGTGGATTGTGTGTGCATTTTAGGGTATATATAATTCTGTGAACGCCGCCACGAGAGCGGCTGTCATATCTCAATAAGCGTGGCAGTGACGCAGATGGGGTCGTTGTCGTATCCGGTACTACAGATATGTACCCGAGATAGTTTTAAGTTGTTTAGCATTATGTTTATATTTTTATATGAGGTATGTTTAAGGTTAGGGTCACCGGTTAGAATTAGGGCTAGGGTTAGGGCTAGGGTTAGGGTTTATGGTTAGGGTACACTTCTGTAGTACAAGTCTGGTACACTTTGTGTATACATATATGTATACCTCGGGTACATATCTGCAGTACCTGATACGACAACGACCCCTTCAGCGGCAGTAACCCAGTGCATGCATGATGCAGTTGGCGGGGTCTCTGGCAAAACTGTGGTGAGAAACATTGGTCTGGGTGTCCCCGACTAGTGTAGCTCTAATAAAAACTAAATCAGTGAATAGATGGAGATTTACTTCCCATGATGTGACATATGCAGCAGCATGTCAACACTTTCTCGAGTAAATATGATGATAATTTGTTCAAAGGATAATTTGATTGCAAAGTACGCATACCCATCAGTAGTTTTAAATGAAAGAAGTAGGTTAAATTAGAGAGAAGATGACGTAAATTTAGGTTATAAAAGACAGCGCAAATGCTCGCCTTAAGCAACTTGATATCAAAAATCATGTCCGATGTCTCCGGTGTCTCTGGCTCAACTAACAATAATAAAATTTCAATCAGATAATACAGGGGCGTAGCCAGGGTTGATTCCAGGCATTCCGGAATCTTTCCTGCATGTTTGTATCAAAATAGCGCATATCTAATACAGTATGTATATAAAAGGATGAAACGAAAATTTTAACGAAGTTTTATTAGTATATAGTAGGTTTGGAATCCCCCCTCTTGAAAGGAATTTCCCCTCTTGGAAGGAATCCCCCCTCTTGGAAGGAATCCCCCCTCTTGGAAGGAATCCCCCCTCTTGGAAGGAATCTCCCTCTTGGAAGGAATCCCCACTCTTGGAAGGAATCCCCCCTCTTGGAAGGAATCCCCCCTCTTGGAAGGAATCCTCCCTCTTGGAAAGGCTGGCTACGCCCCTGTAATAGATAGTCATATATGTGTTCGACGTGACATATGCAGCTGTATGTACAGCAGTTATACAGCGAATGAAGTGGAATTTTAGTGAAATTATACTTTTAATTCAGGGACCCATTTACCCCCAGTGGTCACATCTTCATCTTCATCTTCATCAGAATCTCTTTCTAGTCGAACCAAACATGGTAACACATTTTCCTGTTTCATAGCGGGATATTTGTGTTCGCGCATGCCCAGTATCTGCAAGATCAAATATTATTTTGTTAAAATTATAGTTTTAAAAGAGAGTAACTAATCATCGTAGTAGCCTGTTATCAAATATAAATCCCGATGACGATTCAAGCTGGCCCCGGTTGACGTAAGAGCAACAAATTCAAATCAGCCAACAGATGGCAGTATATGTCCTACGTGACATATGCAACTGTATGTTCAATCTTTATCAAATGAATAAAGCTACATTATCCTTGAAATTATTATTAAATTTAGACAGCACATGTGTGCACATATGTATGCACAGTATCTGCCAAGCAAAATATATTGTTTTGCTGAAAATATAGTTTACAACGAGCGAGAGAGAGTGAGAGCGCGCGCGCGAGAGAGAGAGAGAGAGAGAGAGATAATTGAATTTATTATAGATCAATTATATTATTTTATTATTATATACTTTATTTATTATTATTATTATTATTATTATTATTTAATAGTTAATTATAATTATTTAATTATTATGTATTTTATTATTATTATTATTATTATTTAGTTATTACATTATATATTATATTAATATTATATCATTATATTATCATATTAGTATTAGTGCTATGGTGGCTCACTGCGCGTTTACGGTCCGGCGGGAGAATTCCACCGAAGCACAGTTTCCGCGGTTCGTAGGATTTGTGTGCTAACCGCCTGGAAATCTTTAGAGCAGGATTTTCGGGGCCGATAAATAATCTGTGACCCTTCATTTTGAGCCTCTTTTGTTGGGACATCTTCGGTTATCCTTCCGAGCGTACGAACCGAGTAAGGCCCTACTACGGGAACCGCCCTGCCCTATATCATCATAATGCCTCTCCGTCTTACTGACGGGTAGGTCTGAGGCTCCAACACATACACACGCACGCACTACGCACCGCAACTGCGGACGCAACGGCCGCAGCGCGACGCAGGGCATACGCACACGCATCAACGCACAAAACATATCAACAAACGCAGTCACACAGCGCCGCGCGCACGAACACACATCACACATAGCGCACGCACGTTCTCCACAGTGGGTGTTCACGCACCGACGCACTTCACGCACGCACGTCACGGCACGCACGCCACGCACGCACACACACATACACTACACACACACACACCACACACACACACACACACACACCGCCACTCATACATAGCATACATACATACATACATACATAACATAACAACATACATACATACATACATACATACATACATTACATACTATAACACACATTACACTACATACATCATTAAACATACATACATACATACATCATACATACCATAGCATACATATATAAATACAATACATACAGTAGCATACATACATACATACATACATACATACATACATACATACATACATACATCACATTACTCATACATATCATAGCATACATACATACATACATACATTACAACACTACATACATACAATACAACATATACCATAACATATGATACATACATACATACCAAGAGCTAATATACCTAAGTGTACAACGAAAAACGGGATAATAGTGTCTATTGTCACGACGCAACATTTTTAGCTCTTGCCTGCGACTTATAATCAATTTCATGGTATCCGGCATTAAGCAGAATTCTTTGCTCGTCTAAAACAAAAACGAACCGCTTTCAATAGAACTCCTAGCGCGGAGATATCGGCTCCTAAACCTCCCCTCCACATGCCAAACGCCGGCCTCGACATCACACTTTCTCGTCCCATCCTTCAACGCGCTTAAGACGTGCTTCGTGAGAGTTCGTTTTTTTCTCGCCCATAATTTTATGAATGATTTCTCGGGTGCAGGCTGCCATGAGGGTGGAGCGTGACATTTCGGGGCATCGCCTATGCCCTTATCTCGCGCATTATTTCTAGCACGGCTAATGCCCGTCATGATGGAGGCCGCAATGTTTCTTTCTAATATAGTCTCTACAAGCAGCTAGTAAGAGTAGCAAATTTGGGCATGTGACATCAAATTACAGCGTCCAAGCGGTGACGGAATCCGATAGCCAAATGCTTAACGCGTGAAGGATCGGGGACAGTAAGTCGATTCGAGCCGCGTTTGGCATGGTGGGAGGGGAGGTTTGAGGAAGGTTCGCGATGAGGCGGTGCCGCCTAGGGTATGCCGTGATTACAAGGCGGTTGGTCTTGGTTTAGTCAGAGCAAGAAGCAATCTGCTTTTAAATGCAAATACCATGAAATTATTACTAGACCTCGCGAGGCAAAGTAGAATAA